AGAGAGAGAGAGAGAGAGAGAGAGAGAGAGAGAGAGAGAGAGAGAGAGAGAGAGAGAGAGAGAGAGAGAGAGAGGGTATCTGGGATGGCAAACGTGGAGAGGACTCCTTTGTTAGCTGGTCGCGCAGGGGACTCGGATCGAGCAACAGGCTCTGAGAGATCACGGAGGGGCTATCTGCCACCGGCTCCTGCTCCTGGGGGTTCTGATTCACCGGGGTCACATTTAACCGACTCCCCCTCCCTTACTCGGGCATTCTACGCTGCCCAAGCAAAGAAGCGGCGACGTCGTTTCCGCATCATTCCAGGGGCAGTTGGAGGCAGAAAGGAAGAGGGTGATAAGAAAAAAACCCTTTTTCTGCCTATGCTTCGGGGTGGCTCTGCAACCCGTCCCTCCCTCCCTCCTCCTCCTCTTCAGCCCATTCAATCTATCAACCCCGCATCTCCTCCTCCTCTTCCTCCTCCTCCTCCTCCTCCTCCTCCTCTCTCTTCTGTATCCAGTAATCTGGCAAAGTCTTTTTGCCTTCTCTCTCTCTACTTCGCTCTTGGACTAGTCGTTTTCACATTCTTTGTCACCGAATTCAAAGGTGTGAAAACGAATTCCTTCGTTGATGCCATCTACTGGACTGTCGTCACTATCAGTACCGTTGGCTATGGCGATATCTCTCCATCGTCAGACCCCATGAAGGTGTTCACCTGCTTCTATGCTTTCTTCGGGATTGGGACGGTGGGGTTAATGTTAAGTACAGGGGTGGCATTTTTTTTGGAGAAGCATCAGAAGCAAGTCCTGGGAGCGGTAGAGAAGGCAGTAAACAAGGCATTAAAAAAAGTGAAGGGGGAGGGGGAGGGGGAGGAGGAATCGGATTCGTCAAGTGATGATGATGATGATGACGACTTGGTTAATCTGGATCCCACAGGATGGAATTCGCGAGCGGTGTGGAGGGTGTGCCTCGCTCTTATTCTCATGCTCGGCGTGCTGGGATCAGGCATCATTGTCCTCGTGTTCGTGGAGGGAATGACCTATGTGGATGCGCTCTATACCGCATGCATCTCAGTCTCCACCATAGGGTAAGTCCTCTCCTTCCTTGCCCCTCTCTCTCTCTCTCTCTCTCTCTCTCTCTCTCTCTCTCTCTCTCTCTCTCTCTCTCTCTCTCTCTCTGTGTGCCTCTCTCTCTGACGTATTCACCTGCCCGCCCATCTCTCTGTCTGTCTGTCTGTCTGCCTACGTGCCTGCCTGCCTCTCTCTCTCTCTCTCTCTCTCTCTCTCTCTCTCTCTCTCTCTCTCTCTCTCTCTCTCTCT